CTCACTTAAAAAAAAAAAAGAAGAAGAAAGAAAAAAAAAGAAAACCTGAAACGTTGTTTCCTTTTTTTTAATGTTTTTACGCAAAATACTTTACCTATACTAGACCCAGTTTTTCGGACGGCCGTCCAAGCATATAGAACATGGGTCATTGAATAGTGTTTTGAGAATGATCATTAGATCTTTGTTGCGTTTATGGTCAAAACACCTATTCTTTTGGTGATTAGATAAGCAGCCAAGAAGAAAATATGTTGTGAGAAAACCTTCACTCAACAGGATGCTTGGCAGGGCTCGACACTAACTTTTCAACTTACTAGCCAAGTGGCTAATGGCAACTTAGATGTTACAACAATTTCATTTTGTTTACTAGCCAAACTGGCAAGTGGAAATCGAAAACCACTAGCCAAAACTGAATTTCTACTAGTCTGTGGCTAGTTGGCCACTGTTAGTGTCGAGACCTGCTTGGGTTTCTTCACCTTTTTCATGCCTGAAAGAGAAGGCAAAATGCCAGCTTTTTATTGCGCTTTTAGGCGCGTAGGAAGCCGAAGTCGTTGGTTTACATATGCGTAATTGACCAAGCGTGAGGTAAAGATGTCTGGATATTGGCCGAGTTCGTTTTTGCGTTTTTATGGACCGAGATGAAGTGGAAAAAAGAACGAGGCTAAGATCAAGCCAATTTTACCGAACAAGCCTGTTCGCAAAACGACTTCGCTTCAATAAGAATCAAGAATGACTTACCTATTTCGAGAGCCGTGAAAAAAAGCCAACTGTGTTTGTAGCACAAGAAACCCACGAGGGTCGTTTATGTGTTTTCTTTGTTTTGATTGTCTTCTACCGTTTTTTGCGACTTCATCGCCAACATTGTCCAACAGATACGAACTATGTAAGTTCGCTCATGCACATATTTCCCAGCACGGGATCAAAGCGGGCAATCCCGAGCCTTGCCCGCTCAGGTAGCCAATTAGAACCCACGATTCGCTTCATATTGCCCACGGGCGCTTCTAGCCATATAATGATATAATTAACGCCCTTATGTGTAACGCTCCTGTGTTGTATCCGTAATCAGTTCACTTCGTCTGGTATGCGTCCCAGCGCACCTGACCCAGTGGTCCACCTGTCTGAGTTACCGCATAGCGCTGCACACTCTCCTCTAATCCTGACTGGACCAGGGACAAGCCCTGCCAGGTAAGTTCATCGTAACAGTGCATCACATTTATTTACTTTCTCCTTGATTACTGAAGAGAATTTATAATGATTAGTATAATTTCGTGACCAAGTGTGAGGTCAGTATAGCTGGACGTTGACCTATTTCATTTTGCAGTTTTTTGAAAAAAAAAAAAACTGGACTGACATCCATCAAGAGAATGCAAACCGTTGTATGTTCTCTTGCATCCATCCATCCTGAAATAACTCGCTTAGTCAGTAGTAAGGGATCTATTTTTTTTTTTATCAAAAGATAAAATGAAAACTGCGCTTTTGTAGTAACGAATCGGGAAATCTAGAGCGGCGAAAAATCGTCCGTCAATGTAGCCAATCAGAACCAGCCGGAAAACAGATTAAAAGGAATTAGCTTTTACGTCTGTATACACACACAAACAAAATGTTGATGCAGTTATATTCATAAAAAGTAAATTCTTTTTCTTGCTAATCTTGCAGTGCACCCTCAACAATGACCCGTGCCGCTTATGCACGCCTGTCTAGTGCTGGATTTCCGACCATTACTGATCGCCGTGGTAACCCTCCACAAGTGATTGATCCCAGAGAGGAATTGCGTCTACATTTAGATACTGAAGCTGTCGATCAACTTCTGAGCAATGAGATTGTCATCCAGTTTCTCGCTCTGTCAAGGTATGGTCGAGACTACGAGCATACCCTGTTGCACGAGCTTTTTCCATCCAGAAAACAAAACTAAACAAATAAAAAAATGTGCCAAATGTCCTGCTCTGGGTGTGAATCAGGGAAACTGGATTAAGTAAGCGAAGTCGAGTCCAACATGGAGAAATAACTGCGGTTGAAGTCTCATCAGACAACTAAAAAAAAACCCTTGTTATGCTGTACTGGAAATTACTGTATATTTATTTCATAGATTTAAAGTCAGTTACTCCTCGGTGATGATCTGGGTAACCGTGTTACCCAGACGATACAACCCAGTGACAAGTTTCAGCCCCAAAAATTTCGGTACTTTTCAGTGAACGCTTGCTCATAATGCATGAATTCGCCCACAGTGCAATGAGTGACCAGAACACAATCTATTTTTATTATTACAGATGCTATAACAGAAGCGCTTTCTTCTCATTTCAATTTTACCGATTTCCCCAAGTTACCACTGAAAGGTCTGTAACTAACATTCGTTGAAAATAATTTATTTTTTATTACGCTTTGTACAAACGCGTTACTTTTAATGTGTGCGAGAATACTTTTTTTTTCTAAGAAAATTGAAACTAAAATTGTATTTTAGAGTCTACCTTAAAGACATTGATGGTCAGTCTGTGGGGATTCCTTGTGTGCTTCAAAAATTCAACAAAGACGGCTTTCCCTCCGACGAATCTCCAGGCCTAACGGTAAGAGATGACTAGCATGCGTTTATCTGGCGTTACGTGCGCGAAATAAAGTATAGCAGTAACGTTTGGAAGGCTTGACTTTACGCAAGTAGTCAAGCAAAATTTAACCCACATACACAAGCCGCCACATATTGTCTCTATTATATTGTAATGCACACTATGTGTATCCACATTCATGAACGAGGCTGACCCTCAAGGATACCGCAGCTTGTCTCGGTTTCTGCAACGAATATATACTGATTTTCTTCTTCCCATAGACGGGAACATAGCCCAATCTAGGTCAGAAACCCTTTCTCCACCAGTAGTAATTCTTCCAGTTTCCCGCATTGTTTTTTCTTCCCCGTTTGTACTCTTATGGGAGAGACTGATTCACTGACTGCCGGTTAGATATACCTTTTTACCGGGTTACTTCCCGCTCTGATTACTTTGGTTTTTAATTTGATAACAGTCAGTAGAGAAGCGTTCTAATACCAATTCTGCTTTCAGTTGCGTTATATGTTGGACCCTTCCTATATGCAGCCAGGAGAAGGCCGTGTGTTCAGTCAGTACTTGCTGAGCCAATCATTGCATATTGATGTGTGGGATGGTGACTCACTTCTCCTCATTGGTTCGACTGGTTTCAAGCTTAAGGTAAGATTGATGGACTTTGGTTTGGCTCATAATCTCATTTTCAATGACAATCCTGGTCAAAAGTTGCTGGGACGCCTTCCCTAGTCTTCCAAAACGATCATATAAATACGTGTTTTGCCAATTGTTAAAATTATTCTGATAATAGCGTTAAGTCCATCTTCCTTCCCCTAGCAACGTTGAAAACAACGGCAGCTTTTCTTAATTTTTCCAGGGCTCTTATCAACTCTTAAAGAGGAAAAGGGAGGGGAGGGGAGGGTAACTGTTGATCACATGGCTCTACATGTTTTCATTTTAAACCGTTTGGTCTTTTAGTGTCCCAAGAGTTTTGACAAGGGTTGTAGTTAACACCTCAATCATCTTGAAATCTCCTTTATCCTGTTTTATTGAGAACTTTTCGTAAGGAGGAAGACAGAGAGAGATAAAGCGGGATCGAAAAAAAAAAAAGAATTTTCTATTTACTCTTCTTCTTAAGAATAACTACCAACGGAGCGAGCAGTCGGACCATTGTAATCCAAGTACGGAAAATTACCAGTGTAAACTAGTGGACCATTAGCGTTTGCGCCGGTGACGTACTGCAGTTGGTGACATTTTCATTATGTTTCATCTTAGAATTTACTACGTCAAGGTCGTGAAGCTGTAGTGGTGGCGCATGAATTGGATGTGGTTTCCACCGAATTTTCGGAAGAAGCAGCCATGCAAAGTGGCGACATGGTAAGGATAATTGTTTTAAATCCCACTAATAACGTCCAGTCACTTTTCCAACCGCTTCATCTTGTGAGTTGTCGCTATAAAGGTAGATTGCTCGAGACAGTCTGATCTTCTCTTGATACGAGGGTAAAAGACGAGAAGAGACTAGTGCGAGATAGTTTCAGCACGCCCTCGTCCCAACCCATTCTCGTCAAGTTCACCCCTTTTCGCTCGCGTTCAAGTTGGTGAACGCTCATAGGACCCTAGCGGGAATAGGTATCTGAAAATGGTTCAATTGTCTTCCTCAGACTCGAACTGGTACAGCTCGCCCATTTGGTATCAAGTCTGCAGTAGAAGCCAAACTGCATGTGCGAGTCGCAAACATTGGCCATACCAGTGAAGGACCGAAAGGAAAGCTGGGTAAGCGATGGAAAATCTCCAAAGATTTCGTATTATCTCGACCCTTAAGGGAGTAGCAGAATGAATAGTGCGACATACCAGGGGTTAAGAATATGGAAGGTTCTACGCCCAGGAAAGGAGCCTAAGTATAAGATATTCATAGTGAAATTACAGGTGCACATTGACATATCTCCTCTCCGGTAACGCTGCTTAAGATCCGCATGACGGTTTACCAGAACGGTATTGTACGTCGTTGCCTTATCTATTCATGTTCGTCATTAATCTGATAGGATACTTTTACGGAAGAATAATTTGACTGTCGCTATGTTAGGCAACTCATGGACACGTGTAACCAATCAAGTTCTAGAAGAGTGCAAATGTATGTTTTTAAGAGAAGTTGTCCTCGAGTTCTCGTTAGCTTTGTTTCGTACCCGCTTCTGCATTCTGGCCGTACGATTTTCATGATACCACATTGAAATAGGATTTTCATAGTGGTCTTATATATTGTGTCAGGAACTGTTCCCAAGAAACTCTCCACTGTTGTGATATCAGAAACTGTAACAGAAACAGGAGCAGCTAACACACCGACTGGTGAGTAGTGAGTGGGACTATACCCAGAACACAGATAGCTGTTTTTTTTTCCTGTGAACACTTACCATAGCGTGTTGTTAGTAAATGTGTAAAATATAAGTAACAAAAGGTTATCTTTGCAGATTCTACGAAAAGCTTCTCTGCCATGAATTTCTGCATGTAATTTCCGCCATGTGTAACTTGAGATTCAGACGCCTGAAGTCTAAGGACACGACCTAATTTAATATTATAATTTAATATTATTTAATTTAATATTATTTAATTTAATATTATTTAATTTAATATTATTTAATTTAATATTACAGTGATCTATCTAATTACGGTTAAACAGAGGACACTCTTCGCGTGAGAGTGTTTTCGAGTAGCGAGGGGGTAAATTTTAGTAGCCATTGCAATTTAGGGGCGTTTAAAACCCGGACAATGCATGGTTACAAGTGCGTTTCTGAGGGGCTCGAGGGAGGTTTGCTGGGGCGTTGCCAAATGCTTTCGCTCGATTTGCCTTGCTGTTGATTCTATCGCTTTGGATTGACTCCTTGCTAATACCATTTACAGGAAACAAAAGTACTAAAATCAAGGCCAAGCAAATGGCAGAATGTGACGCAGAACTTTCCGCTGTGTTGTTCAGCAGGCAGGAAAAGATAACCAAAGATGATCAGCCAGTCAGAGAAGCTGATGCTATAAGAAAAAGGTCAGTTGAGTTTAAGTTGTGGACGGTTAAGTAGTTTCGTACTTCTTACATTGAAAGTATTGTAACCATGTGGCTTTCAATGGGGATGTAATTTTGACCTCTTTTATAGTTACAATAAATTTTTGTATTGACTGTTAATGGTAATCCATAATTATTTGGTTTTTTTAACACGGGTTCTGTCTGTTTCAAAAGAAAAACCGGCTTCCTCAAAACCCTCTCTCTCTCAAGAGCGACCAAGAGCAAATTTCTCCTAACATTATCAATACAAACAGACATGAAATGAGAATAGAAGAACACAGTAACTAGAGGATTATCATTTGATCCAACACCAAATTCTCAGGCAGACAATAAGGAGAATTTTCATAGAGAAATTGGGAGCGAAAGGATTAACCAACCAGACGAAAAGCTGATACCAGTTCCGACTTGGTCAGCCCATTTTCCTTCGATTGAACTCGGTTATTTTAGCGGGGAAGTGATTTTCCCAAGCAACTTCATAATCACTTGATATTCAACCTTCCACGTACTTTTGACACAGAAAACTTGAAAGAATGCAGGCGGTTCGGCAGACCCAAGGTGCTGATACCTCTACGGGCAATTTAATTGTAAGTCGACTCTTGCCACATGATTTTATGATCGTTTTTATTCTACTATACTTGTTTGTATTCCATATCCCACGCTCCTCATAAGACGAATATAATTTTTTTTTTTTACTCCACTACCGAAATTAAAAATATCCATCTTTCTCATCCTGTTTACTCATTTAACGCTTTCGACACTAGAGATCCTATTTGTATGCAGGGTGTGGGTCACGTGAATTTCGTAACGTTCAAATTCAGAGTTTCCTGAAGCTCAGTGGTGGAGCATCAGGGCTCATTGAGATATCAGCTTTTCCTCATTGAGATATCAGCTTTTCCTCATTGAGATATCAGATTTTCCTCATTGAGAAATCAGATTTTCCTCATGTCTTACGCACCTTTCAAGACGAACGACGTTTTTCTGTAGTTTTATCCCACCGTCTTTAAGCTTCTCTGCATTCAGCGTTTGCTTTCAAGTTGCGCATCTACAATCACACTCATGAAACATCTATTTGTTGTCAGATTCAAAAAGAAGAGAAACTACAAAGAACACGAGACCTCAAAACCATTCAGCTTTACAGGTCAGTTATACTCAGTAAAGATTGGTATTCGTGTCAGAAACTATAGCTGTTTTTAAAGTAATTCTATCCTATTGGATCCCACACTTTGTTTAAAATTTTTCCTGACAGTTTACCAAGGGATAGCTTGAAAGGAGGGTCCCATTTCCGTTCATGAGCTGAAGGACATGACAAAGCCCCTTTTCAGTGTGTGCTGATTTTCCTTGTTTATCTCTGTCTCTATTTTACGTGACAGTTATTTTGAATTCCCTGATAACAAGAAACTACACTGGAGTACCAAACAGGACAAATTCTCAGGTCTTGAGCTACATCTTGACAGTTCTCATGGTTAGAATTCTGACTGCTGCATTGCTTTTTTACCGACAAGATTTGTTCTTCAAAGTCTTACCGCAAAACGAGGATGACTGAAAGGATAAACTTTTGCATTAAAAAGATAAATAATGGACCTTGTTTTGGAGAGAACGACCTTTTATTTCTCTTCAGACCAGTCGTGTTAAGGAGCGCCCGCGCTGAATGTAATCCAGCTGTGGGTGCTCCTAAATGATGCGTAAAAAAGGATGTGCAATCTGAAAATGAAGTTGTCTTCATCTTTTCCTGTATCTGTTAACAACCAGGTCCGGGATGTTCAAAGCTAGGTTAAGATAACCCAGGGTTAGTGTGAAATTTGATTTCAGATCTGAAATCTTTAAAAGAAAATTCAGCTTGATTCCATTTGTCTACAATTTGATGATTAAATGCCCAAAAATAAATTGGGAAAGTTATCCCAAAACGGCTTTTTATCAGAGAAATATAGAAACCTGGATTAAGATTTAACCCTGGGTTAGTGCTAATCGGCCTTCGAACAACTGGGCCCAGGAGGATAACTACTCATCCTATCCTACAAATATTGTGTCAATGCGTTTAAGGTCACTCCTCGGAGCTGCATAATGCATATAGCAAATTATTTCTCATCCTATGATATTCTTCGAGTAGTCTTTATCAAGCATGAGCGGGCGTGGAAGGAGACACTTGCTCTGTTCTTACAGTGAACATAGTGAATTGAAAATGTTTGTTTTTTTTTTCTTAACAGAGAGAAGCTCAGACATGAGAAGATCCTTGCTTCGTTGGCGGGTAACATCACGACCAGCCACACAATCTACCCGTCATTCGGTAGAGCAGAGTTTTTCGAGTTTGTACTGAGAAATCCTTACTCCACTGACCAGACAGTTACCATTCACTGCGACGACAACGAACTCAAGTACGTAAATAAATAAGTTTGTCTTAAAAAGCTATCCTCGGAGCCAGTAGATTTGCAATCGCATACTTCATTGCAAGTGACGTATTTTTGCATCAGTGACACCTCGTTTTTACTGATGTGTCGATTGTTTAAAAGCTCGTTACACTTAAGGCAAATATTCTTGAGATATTCTTGAGTTGGGTTGCTTTGATTACCATCAGTCGGAATTGACCGACCGGGTGACCAGTTTAGGAGGAGGGGGAGAACGTTTTGCAAGAGTGCAAGTAACCTCTTCCCAGTCTCGTCTCACAATTAGTACTGAACGGCCCCGAGAAGGCTGTTGTGTACGTGTGCAGTGTTCTTCGTCGACCTCCTCGTCTTAAGATAAATGTAACATCTTAAGATAGAATAAAATCGTCATCGCAAAATACTACTCAAAATGTAGGTGGTTACAAGAGCATTTACAGAAGACATAGCACTCCGTTTGGAGTTGAGCTTGCAATCTGGAATATACTGATTGTCCCGGAATTCTTTTTGTAAATGGTAGTTCTAACTGACAGTAAACTAGTTCCAACTGACAGTAAGCGCCTTAATTAAGTGCTATGCCCGGTGCGGAGTTAACATTGATCTCATTGCATTTCTCATTCAAAGAAAATGTTTCTCAATATTCCGTTTACTTTCCTTGCAGAGTTATAACAGACACAAGAGAATGGAGACACTTTAAGAGGAAAACAGAGACGCGTTCAGGTGACTGCGGAAGCTTTTTATCATTCGACCATGTAATTTTGTTTAGGGATTTACCTTGAGCTGGTCCGTCACACCTCGTTATTTTTAGTTGTATGTTTAGAGATAAAGAAAGGGGGATTCTGGATCTCAACTTCGGTAATTTTTCCGCACATAACTTAAGCTCGCCCTCTTTTTCTGCTCATAACTCTTTAAGTTGTCGCTCACCCCTGTGATACGCAGTATGTGGCTCCCAGATCGACCTCGTCACCAAACTTTCTCCTCTTTCCACTAAATTGGTCTCATGTTATAACTGGTCAATGGTTCGATTTCCTTTGCGCACTCATGTTTTTCTGTGCTCCGTGCTCACGGCAACTAAATTAGCTCTTCTCACAAACAACTGGGAGCCATGCCAAGCCGACCATACAGCCCGACCTTTATTATATCAACACGATGAACCATTAGGGTTACAACACTAACAAAACAGCCGAAACTGAGGCTAGATACAGAAGATTGACATGCACGAATAACTGAAAGTGAGGCACTACTTGAAATCCTATATCCCTAAAAACATATGGAGGGTGGGTGGGGAAGGTCAGGC